CCCTAAACCCCTAAACCCTGAAACATAAAACCCTAAACCCTAAACCCCTAAACCCCAAAAACCCAAAAATCGCAAGGCATGTTCTGGTCGGCCCACACAAGGAGGAGGCCGGGGAAGCCCACGGCCTCGTCGCTTGGCGCATTTTGGGCTTAGGGTTTTAGGTTTTTTTTTTTCAGGGTTTAGGGTTTTAGGATTTTGTTTTCAGGGTTTAGGGTTTTTAGGATTATTTTTTTCAGGGTTTAGGGTTTAGGGATCTTTTCAGGGTTTAGGGTTTAGGGTTTTTTTTTCAGGGTTTAGGGTTTTAAGGTTTTTTTTTTTTCGGGGTTTAGGGGTCAGGGTTCAGTGTTTAGGGTTTAAGGGTTCAGGGATTAGGGGGAGGGAGAGGGAAAGACAGAGAGAGAAAGAGAGAGAGGGAGAGAGCGAGATTGAGCTTGCTTGCAAGAGCGAGATTGAGACCAAAAAAGACAGAGAGAGAGAGGCTGGGGTTTGAGTTAGAGGACGAGGGGCGCCCGACAGGTCTACTTCTCTGTTACTTGCCTGTTGGTTTATACTCCTTGGCCTCAAGCTTGTTTCAACAAAAGTCGGGGGCACCAAGTCTGGTAGACTGCAGAGGAGGGACGCAGAGTGCACCCAAGGCGTTGTGAACGTTGGATCCTGTTAGGGCAATCACGTTGATGTTGACTGCCTCCACGCGGGCACTGTCTCTGCACCTGTCCGTAACCCAAATATCTACCAGTCATGATGAGGAACCCTATGTAAACACGCAGCTGTTTGGGCTAGAGGTACCTTAACCTCTAAGCCCTACATCCGTAGGTCTTGAAACCTACGTAGCCCCAAACCCTGAGCCTCATCAAGCCTAAATCCTACACCTAACCCTAAACCTGAAACCAAGCCAAGGCAACCGATGTGCACATGCACTTCCTGAACCCAAGCAATCCGGAATTGCACACCTCGGTGTTCAAGTTCTTCCGCCTCTTCTTCCAGGCCACTGGGTTTAGGGTTGAGGTTCAAAGGCTTTGGGGTTCAGAGTATTGGATGCAGGGTAGGGTATAGGATTACGGGTTTAGGTTTCTCAATCAAGTCGGCTTGCTGATGGCTTAGGGAATGCCTTAAGCTACCATAACCTACTTTTTGTAGGTTCTTACTATCTATAAACCCCAGTTTAGAATTCATGGCAACTCTACAAATAGTCTGGTCGGTGGCTATCTGCTGCTCACGGTTCGCTGTTGGTGCAGGAAGCAGTCAGCGCAGCGAATCGCCAAACCCTTTCGAAAGGCCTTACAGTAAACCCGGAGCTAAAGAGTATTTAACGCATAAAGCAAAGTATGTGTGAGTACAAGATGCCCTGAACCCTAAACCCTCAACCCTAAACCTTAAACCCCCCTCAACCCTAAATCGACCCTCCCAAGTGATGACAGGCAAGCCACAAGGCTTTGCACTGGCTCGGCGCCGATGCTGGCGAGGCGGAAAAGGTTGAAAAGGCTAATGTAGAAGCCTGAATGAAGCCCGAAACCCCCCTAAGCACCCAAAACCGCTAAAGTAATACTATCCCTTAGGGTTCCTTATTGTAGTTGTAATGTGTCATGCTACACTCTCACCCCCAAGCACTGTTCTGATTTCTTGTAGGCCCCTACTGGTCTAGTTCAGGGTGGAGCAATCCTCTTCGGGTTTTATAGCTTGAGATGCAACAATTGTTTATGGCTTGTAGGGTTTGGATGCTTGCGGGTTTATGGGTTTAAGGTTTGGTGTTTCACTGTTGATGGTTCCGGGCTCTAGGTCCTGGGGGTTTTGGATTGATTTGTTTCGGAGATGGATTCTATGGGAATTAGATCTTTACGTGCACCCTTCCTTGTCAGGGCTCCTTATTGTGATCTCCTTTTTCTAGTCCTGAAAAGGTTCTTTAGCTTCCGGGGCCTTTTTGTGACGCAGTGAAGGGGGTCGGAGAGGAACTCCGGGCTCAGGAATTTCAAGCTCCTCAGGGCTTCATACATCTATTAAACCCTATGGCCCTACAACCCTAAACCCTCAACCCTGAACCCCTATAGCCCATAGTCTTTCTTTTTTTAAAGAGAGCCTTCGGAAGCCCTGCCCTGAAAGACAGGAAGCCCCAAAGGATTCTATGAATTATAAAAGCCGCGAAGAACCGAATAGGGTTTAGGGTTTAGGTTTAGGGTAAACCCTAAACCCTATGAAAGTCATAAATATACACCCAGAAAGGCATCAAACTCCTATCAAAAACACTGTGGGTAGTTTTAGGTCCCCAATGTGTTTTGGCACCCTTATTTAAAAAAAAAAGACCACCAAAAAAGGGATATTAATTTAGAGAACTACCCATGTAGAAGCCTGACTACCTAAACCCCTAAACCACTAAACACCTAAACCCCTAAACCCCTAAACCCTAAACCCCTAAACCCCTAAACCCCTAAAACCCTAAACCCTAAACCCCTGAACTAAACCCTGAAGAACCCCATCCAAAGGCGCTGCTCGCCGCTCTTTCCTCGCAGCTACCGGAGACAAGCCGGGCTTTGAAGGCAGCTTTGACGCGGCTTCGGGTCTAGGGTTTTGGGGTTTAGGGGTTTAGGGTTTGGGGTTTCGGGTTTAGGGGGGCTTCCAGGACCCTCCAAGTACCCTCAAACAGGGGTATTATGGTCCCAACTTAAGGGTATTTGGGGTCTAAATAGAGGGTAGGTGGAAGGTCGAGGTTGTCATGGCGACAAGAAGTAGTGTCTAGGCTTAAGGGTATGTTCCATCAGTGGAAGAGATAGCACTATTGCGAGTGGTATTATTAGTATGGTTACTTTCATTCCCATGTGTGGTTGTATTATCATTGGTGATTTTAAACACCTAAACCCCTAAACCCTAAACCCCTAAACCCTGAACCCTAAGTTTGCTACTTGTTGTGTTGGGGGGAGGGGGCGGGGGTGGGATTTCCCTATACTTCACCCGTCAGGCCGTAAAACCCTGACACCAAAACCCCCAAACAAGCGGAGGATCACTAAGGGAGGGTAGTCCGGGTGGGGGTGCTAGGGTCTAAGGGAGTTTTGGGGAACCTAAGGGAAGACTAGGGGGGATATCTCCTAAATCCAGCCCCTCTAAGGACCCCTTAGACACAGCAACCCTAACACCCCTCAATTTGAAATCCGAATCCAAAAACCCCAAACTCACAAAAGAAACGGCACCAACTACTAAAGCCGAAGCTCTGACGAAGCAAAAAAAATATGTGTTTGGCAGGATGTGCTGCAGGGCAATCGCTATGAGATAACCGAGGAGCTCTCCGTGCCAGGACCTCTGGGTCTCCTCTCCGGAGGGATTTTATGAGGTATACAAGCCCTAAACCCTAAACGCTAAGCCCTAAACCCCTGAACCCTTAAACCCGAAACCCTTAAACCCTAAGGGTTCTAGAAGGGGTTTAGGGTTCAGCAGGTTGTCGGGATCAAAGTTTAGGGCGTTGGTTTCTCAGGATTTACGGTTAAGGCTCTAGGCTTTAGGGCTTTGTTCGGGATTTCGGGTTTAGGGCTTCGGGTTTCAGGTTTCAGGGTTTAGGGTTGAGTGCTAAATATCCACAACTAGCAGCCGGCGACGTGTCATGATTGAACGGAGCATAAGCCCTCGAGCCACTGTTTTTCTCGTCTTTGCGGCAAGACTACCAGCAGCACGATGACTAGTGCTGCTACACTAGAACGACGACGACTACTGCTACTACTAGGAGTAGTAGAGGTAGACGTGTTCATGCACCATGAGAGGAAGAGATCGCGTCCTGTACTTGATCGCATCCCACACAGTGGATGGTGATTCGCTATTACTCGCGCGAACTTGTTTAGGGCCTGGTTCAGGGTTTAGGGTTTAGGTGACAGCTCTGCCAACAGCTATCATTCCATGCTCGGGGCAAAGCAGCACATTCCAAGAAAGCATGGTACCAAGAACACGAGGAACAGGAAACATACATGATCGTTCAAAGCCTAAACCCTAAACCCTAAACCCTAAAACCCTAAACCCTAAACCGTATGAGGTTGCCGTGGTAGCCAACTAAGATTAGACACCAGACGAGTAGTTCTCCAAATCAGGGTCGATTTTTAGGTCCCCAGTATAGTACGGCACCCTTACAAAAAAAGGGATCCCAAAAGGGACCCTCTTTTAGAAAACCACCCAAAAGGAAGAAGGTTCACCGTGGTTTTTTTGTGGGGGGGGGGGGAGGCCAGGGAGTCAGCGAGGAATCCGAGGATGGAGCAGATATGGGGAGTTTCCGAAACTAAGGGGTACCTTCATTTGGGGTCCTTATAATAATGGGTTTAGGGTTTAGGGTTTAGATCGTACTGTTTAGGCGCATGGGCACAGTCGCATAGACCTTAGGGCACTGCACGGCACAGCATCGCAGCATCACACCAGCTTGACAACCATGAGAATGGAGTGGCCGCTCGTTGCAGCAGCTCTCACGGCGATTGGGATTGAGCTGTGCGCAGCCGCGGGCGGCTGCAGTGGCGATGCTCTGGACAGGGATGGCTTGGGCTTGGAGCCGACGCATGCCCAGCCGAACCTGACGGAGACCACCGAGAGCTCGGAGAAATGGGATGGAGGCTGCAGATGCCAATGGGTCGATGGAAGCCGCAGAGGGTACTATATTAGGGTCCCCTGTTTTCGGAAAACCCCCATATAGCAGCCTGAATCTTTAACCAACCTGTCCCTACGCACCCCTAGCTGCCCCTAAACCTAAACCCTACTTGAAGGATCTTGGTGGTTAGTAT